CATCTTGTAAATTCAAACTTCGTACGTTTCGACTTTATTTTTAAGTCATCCTCAGCTTATAATTGATTACTTATTATCCCATCCTGGCACTCATCAAAGCAAAAAACCGTCCATCCACTTCAGTTACTTGGCTGAGTGGTATGTATCTTTTATGCTAAAATTGTTATCAATTGATCAACATTTGTTCAATAATTTTAGCATAAAGGATACATATCACTCAGCCAAGTAACTGAAGTGGATGGGCGGTTTTTTGCTTTGATGATGAGTGCCAGGATGGGATAATAAGTAATCAATTATAAGCTGAGGATGACTTAAAAATAAAGTCGAAACGTACGAAGTTTGAATTTACAAGATGCATAATTATTTCGCAACCTAACAACCAGCGGAGGACTCCTATGGCCTTGAGGATATGTTTTGATATTTTAAAAATTCAAAAGTTATTTGGTATTTACTATTTTACATAACTTCTTCTGACTTATTTCTTATTTAATATTTTAAATAAGTTTTTGAAACATATTTTATATTTTTTATTTTAAATAAATCATATCAGTTATTTTACCGAGATGTTAATAAAAAGTAATTAATATGATACTTGAACCAATAAATTATATAAAAGATAATAATGCAATTGATGTTTGTTTACAGCTCATAATGGCAAAATTATAAGCGGAATTATTGCATTGATTTTAATTATTATGACAGTTAGTTTGATTTTTTATAAAAAATGGCAATCTGAACAAGATTTGGACAATCTCTCATGGAAGATAAATTATAACGACATTATGTTAATCAATGAGGGACGAATTGAAACGGTGAGCCAATGAGACATTCTATTATCAAATTTTTAGGTGCAAAACTGTAATGAGTTTTTTAACATAAATTGTTTAGTGTTGTTGAGGGAATTATATGAGGATTAACAATTAAAAATTTGCGGCGTTTTCCATAGGCGAAGAAGATTATTTTATTAGAAAAAAAGAAAAAATAAAGTAATAAAAAACTATATATGGATTCACTCACCGCTTTCCAAATCTGCTTTGTTGCACAGGGATTTGGCACACACCTCAAACTGACTTGCTTTGTTTCGTACAAACTCGCTGTCACACGAGGATTAATAATAAATAACTCGCGGCATCTTTCCGATTGACGAAAAAGACAACTACTTTGGGTGCTATCCATCTAATGACACAAATCGTCACAAGTGTCGTTCTACCTTTGTATGAATGTCAAGAAAGATAAATGACGTTTTGTCGACATGTGTCATCAAATAAAAGCACCTTTGTTCGCAATAAAACAACAAATCATTTCCGGCTTCGTACGTCTCAGATATGATTGACTACTAGACTACTACAAATTGTATACCAGACTAGAAGGAAAACTACAGGGTGCAAAGGGCCTTGCTTCAGTCACGCCATCTAGTGGTTTCTGTTTTTTGTGCGGAAAACGCCTTACAAAAACCTCAACTAAGCTATGTGAGATTCCTACCAGTGCCACCTAGGTATCACTCTATCCTTGTTCACTGAACGTTAAACAAGGATGACATGACTTCTAGGAAACACCTGGGGGCCTATTCTGTACACGCTTACCGACAATTGTCGGTATTGTTAAGTAGCGATAGCCAATAAGAACCGCACTTTTCTCCTAGAACAGTCTTTGCCATTGGCTATCGTTAATTATCGACACCGACAACTGTCGGTAGACGTATACAGAATACTGAGGCCCTATTTTGTAACTCTTAACGACAGTGTCGATATCGTTACAATGTCGTTACGCAGATATTTCATACGATAAAAAAGTTGCGCAACGACACTAAAACGATATCGACACTGTCGTTAAGAGTTACAGAATAGGGCCTCTGGGAAGGAATATAAACGCATCCTAACTATAGAATCATATAACCGACGAGATACTATAAAGACCGTCCCCTTGAAAAAATTTTCGTTCGTTCCAAAGGGGCTCGGAAGATACCCGTATGAATGAAGCGCAACTGTGAAGTTGGAGGCCATCTTCACACGAATCCGGAGGACTCAGAGATAATTGTAAAGCGTTTTCATTATGTAAATTTGCAGTTATTAATATAAATATTTGGCCAATACATTATTAAATCCATGATTTTTTAATGATATATAAATATTCCATAAATAAGTATGCATACTCGTAACGCTATAATATGTTATACATATATTTTTCGCAAAATTACAATTTTTTTCTTTGTAGTTACTAACTCTATTTCTATTCAAACTTAAACAATAATATTGAAATCACAATTTTAAAGAAATATCGAGTATCATTGAGCTTTAAGTACTGGCGCGCTTACATATACACGTATGAATATATCTATGAAATTAATAAATCATAAAATTATTACTATATTGTCAGTTTCTTAATATAAATCATTTAAATATAAACGGACGCGAACTCCCGTAAGGATATTGGTACTTAATAGTAACTCGTCGATGGTTATATTAATGTAAAATCAATTTCTTGCTTTACAAATAATATTTTTAATTATTTAAAATTAATTACATAACGCACTTAAGATTTCTGAGTAATCATCATAGCCGTATGTTGAATTGTAACGACAGAAGCGAGAAATGACGCGTTAATTTTTATTATGTGCAATTTGTAAATGAAGAGAATTTTTAATTTAAATAAAACAAAATGACGAGATCGCTTTAAAACATTTAAAAATAATCGAAAAATATACATGTTTTTCCCCCCTGACAATTAGTAATAATTATAAAAAGATTGATAAAAGACACGTATAAGTGAAAATAAGCTACGCAATGTATAAAAGTACTTCATGTGCTTTTCATTATGTTTTACAATTATTTACTGACTGTTAGCTGGGAGAGGAGGATAAGGATAACTTTCATCTATTTTTACAATTGTTTTAAAGCGATTTCATCATCTTATTCAAATTATATTTATTTACAAATGGCTCGTAATAAAAAATGACGTATTATTTCTCGCTTTTGTGATGTCACGGTTTAATATGATTGTGATGACTATTCAGGAGCCTTAAACATAATGAGTCAAAATTCAGGATCCACAATTAATTAAAAAATTACAATAACTAATTAATCTTGAGAAAAGCCAATGTGAGCCAATACTAGATATTCGTATATATAATATACTGATTTACTTATGCGAATATCTAGTGTTGGCTCACACATTAGCTTTTTTTCAAGATTAATTAGTTATTGTAATTTCTTAAACTAATATATATAAATAATATTCATACAATATATGTTTTTTCATATAGTTATCAACCAGTGAGACGTCATTAAATTCAAATTTAGATATAGATTTCCCACATTCCGTAATATATACTCAAGTTGGATATTTCAATAATCAAATTTTAACCATTAAAAAAATGAAAGGGTATATCGAAATTACAAAAAACCTAAATAAGGAATTAAAAATGGTAATATTTGTAAAGGCAATAATTTTAATTTAATTTGAAATTACACAATATAATGACTATTACTATAATACATGAACAATTATAGTAAAAACTTAACTTATTATTAAAACGATGTAATTTCAGATGCGTAATGTTAGACACCAGAATTTGAACTCTTTTATTGGTGCTTGTATCGAATCATCTAACATATACATGATCGTCGATTATTGTTCACGTGGTAGCCTCAAAGTTAGTAATTTTTTAAATTAAGGCAATTAGTTTTTTATATTATATATATTTTGATTAAATCTCCAATTGTTAAATGTACATATTAATTCTCGGCCCCTACCTCTCAGCGATCTCAAAACCGTTTAAGTTAAACTCCATTTCCCCCCCTCTCTGTAGTCATTTTGAAGTACCATTTTAGCTTTAAAATGAGGTACAATATTTGATCCTCCTGTAAACATAACTTGAAAAATCAGCAGTAAACACGATGTCGTTCGAAGAACAACGTTTGAGGCACTGCCTTCTTTTTGCGTTTCAACTTAAAAAAACGTGGCTGAGGAAAAAGAAATAATTTCTTCTCGCTTTGGACGAGAATACTGCATCGTACAGTAAAAATGGTTTCAACAGTTTCGAGAGGGAAATTTCGACCTTGAGGATCGTGAACGCCTTGGTCAACCAAAGAAAAGTGGAAAACGTGGAGGAAATTTTGAACGAGAATTCTTGCCAAATACAATTAGAAATTGCAAATACGCTTGGAATAACACAGCAAGACGTTTCTTATCGCCTAAAACAGCTGGGGAGAATTCGCAAGAAATCCCGATGGATCCCTCATGAGCTCACTCCCGAAAACAAAAGTAGACGTCACGATACTGCTTTCTCCATGCTCTCTAGGTTCAAGAAAAAGAATTTTTTGCACAAAATTGTTACTTGTGATAGAAAATGCATATTGTACGAGATTCTTAGAAGAACTAAGAGGCGAAAATCATGGATCTGTCCAGGTGAGCCGTCAACGAGCATCGCAAAATCGAACATCCATGTAAAAAAGGTGTTGCTATGCATTTGGTGGGACCAGAAGGGCATGATTATTATTATGAGTTGCTCCGACAAGGTCAGACTGCTGAGCTCTATCAACAATTAATTCATGTAAATGACGCTCTTGAAGAAAAAAAGCCATATTTACTGGCAGTGGAAAAAGGAAGGTGATACTGCTGGAGGATAACGCCCGGCCCCATATAGCAAACAACGCTCCGAAAATCATCTCCGATTTAGGCTGGGAAATTCTTTTTCATTCTCCAGACTTAGCCCCTTCAGATTATTATCTATTTCGAGCCGTACAACATCATCTAACTGATTCTCGATTCAAGTCAGTTCAAGAGGTCGAAAAAAGTTTCGATGAATTCGTTAATTCAAAGCCACCATCAGGCAATTGCCTGAGAAGTAGAAAAAATATATAGATAGCGGGGGAGATTACTTTGAAGATTGAATTTGTATTTATGTTTTTATAAATAAATATCAAAAAAGGCCGAGAATTAATTTGTACATCTAATATTATTGCATTATACTAATTTCAGTAATTTCGAATTTCCGGCAATAACACAGTATTTTTCAGGATATTTTGAAGAACGATAAAATAATACTCAATAAAATGTTTATATCGTCTATTGTTTTCGACATCATTAGAGTAAGTTCCATTAATTTTTTCATAAAATTTAAATTTTCTTTTTAAAGTTTGTTTAAGATAGTACACTCAGATTAAATAAATCTTATTGTATTTGATACATCATTAGTCGGCTGTCAGATCGACCTAAAGAGTATTAACTCAATAGCCTATACGAGCTTTACGCACCGTGTAATTTCGAGACTTAATCCTTTCAATCTCACCATCATAAAGGAGAGCAGAAATTTTCAAGAGTTTTGCCCCTTCAAATTTTTAATTTGTTACCGTTCGGGAATCGTTTTACTTCTATATTTCCTTATTTATTTTTTCTTCGTAGATACCAAAAATAATCATTATGATAACGTCAAATATAAAAAAAATTGATATATTTAAATAAAATAACTAAAATCCTTATTGATATCGTTTTATTATAAATTAAATCACTGTAAGTTATATATTTCAATAATTTATTTATAAAATTAATTCTAAATTGAATCAAATGCAAATAATATTGCACCACACAAAATATTAATTATTAGATTATATTTTTTATTATAACATTTGACATCTCGTTAAACATTTTCCCCACTTCAAGTGTTATGCATTGCATAGCACAGTATTGAGGTGACAAGTGTTACCTAATAAAAAATATAATCTAATTAAAATTCTGTCGTGCAATATTATTGGCATTTGATATAATTTAGAATTAATTTCATAACTAAATTATTGAAACATAACTGACAATAATTTTATAACGATGTAGATAAGGATTTTACTCATTTTATTTCAGTATACCAATTTTTCCTTAAGTCTGGCATTATTAAAATGATTATTTTTAATAGAGAAAAAAAATACATAAGGAGCCATAAAAGTAAAATAAAAACTCTCGAAAATGTTTACCTTCCTTTCATTAACTTACGAATGTACCGATCAAACGCGACATCGTATGCGATGATATATGCGAGAAGTGCGGCATTGCCAGATACTCACGCCTCCTCCAGTCATCTCCATAAACGCACCGTCTTTTTAAATAAAATAGAAAATTGCATCCTTTTTACAGCTCTATTTTCCAAATTAAACCATACAAAATTACGACATTTTTTTACAGTATTTGTTTATATCTATTATTACAATAATATGGTATTGAAATGGTTAATCTCTCTCGTTGTAATTACACAAGTGTGTCAACGTCTTTTAGTAGACTTTTAGTTTGAATTTTAAGAAATTCTTACTGTTTCCAATTCACGAGTGTACTACCTTAATAAAATTATGTTCATTTTGAAATTAAATTCTTCCATGCAGCAACAGACTGTTGACCTATTGTTACTCGTATAGTACATTAAAGTCACTGTTGCGTCGAAACCTCTCTCGTACTGCGATTCGAATCGTCCTTTATCGATCCAAAATGTTTATACGTCGCGTATACATGCACGCACGTTTCATATTCGTACAGATAACACATACTTAACAT